TGTTTGATCCATCGTTGAAGATGCATACATCATTATTGGAGAGAAACTCTTCAAGGACCTTTCCCTAACTATTTGTATCAGTACTCCCCCATAGGGGGTTATGGCCGTTGAAGTCGCCCATGATTATGCAGGGCTTTGGGAGTTGATCGTATAAGTTCTGAAGATCTGATAGGCGAACAGTTGAGGTGGGAGGGAGATAGAGGGAACATAGTGTAAACCCTATGTTCAGAGTCATGCGGACAGCAACAGTTTGTAGGTTGGTGTTAAGTGGAACAGGGCTATGGAGGATGCCCTGCCTCACCAGGATAGAAGTGCCTCCTGTAGCTTTTACACCGGGAGGAGAAAAAGAGTGGTAGGAACTGTACCGACGGATGTCAAATTTATCAGTCCTTTTTAGGTAGGTTTCTTGGAGACAAAACGCGGATGGTTTGAAGTCTTGAATCAATAACTGTAGTTCATTATAATATTCTTAAGTCCTCTGCAATTCCATTGGATCATGTTTTGTGGATTCATGGTGCTTCCACTGGTGACATGTCACGTGAACGTGAGAAAGCGTTTGATGAACTCCTATTGGTGTCTGGTGGAGATGGAGTTACCTCCATATCCAGAGGGCCAAAGGAGTTATGGACATCGATGGGGACCTCTGAGGGAGAGGTGGCCTTTGGTTTTGTGTTTGGCGGTTGTTCAAGTTGCTTAAGTCTCTCTAGCCTCTTTTTTTTCCCTTTTTCTGCGCGCAGTTTCTGTTTCCGGTTTTGGTATTTGGTGTTTGTGATTCAGAGGTTTTGACTTTTGGCGTTGGAGATGGAGTGGCTGAGATGGGCTGAGTTGTGTTGAGTTGAGTTGGCTGAGAAGACATGATCCATGTCAGGTCGGTCTGACATGAGATGGTTGCAGTAGTGATAGAAGGACGGGAGACAGCAGAAGAGTAGGTGATGGTTGAAGGGGCTGCAGTTAAACTTGCAACCCTCTTCTTTGCTTCATGAAAGGAGATATTTTCTTTGTGCTTGATCTTTAGGATCTCGGATTCGCGTTGCCACACTGGGCAAAACTTGGAAGAGGCCATATGGTTACCACCGCAGTTTGTGCACTTCACTTCCTTAGTACAGTCGTTGCCCTCATGCTTGTCACCACAGCGATAACAAACACCGGAGTGGATTGGGGACATACACCTCCACACCAATGCTACAATAACCAGCTCTAATCGAGTCAGGAATGTTTGCTCGCGGGAATGTGAAGAGATAGGTGTCCGTTGGTTGAACAACACCGTCCTTTTTTGAAGGTGAATCGTTTTACGGCTGTGACGGATTGCTGAGAGAGTTCCTTGACAATTCGTTCTCCAGTCATGTCAGACAGGCATCGAGTTCTGTCCTGTACAATGCCTCTACACGAGTTAAGTGTTTTGTGTGCTGAGACAGCGACCTTGATATTGACAAATTCTTGTATTTTGAGGAGACTCAAGGATTGTTGTTTTCGGGTACATTCTATCAGGAGAGAGCCAGATCGGAGCTTTGTAACATTGGCAACCTCTCCGCAGATACCAGCGATACCTATGGAGATTGGAAAAGGATTCAATTGCAAAGGTTGCTTGTCACAAGCCTCAATGATCAGGAAGCGTGGCCAGTAGTCAGGTCGGAGGGGCGTACTCTCGTCAGACGAGGAGTTGTCAGTATCCATGTGTCTTCGTTTTGAACCGGGGTATTGGGAAGCCATGTCGTGAGTAATGTGGTTCGGCATCCCCTCTCCCCACCCACCGTGGAGTGTCAACAAGGACGATCTTATATTGCAGCGGATCTCCAAGCTGCAAAGACCAGGGATAAGGGGGTGTTATACTCCAGCGAATTTGACATGAAATGCTGTAGCTGCCTACCAGATTAAAGGTCAGGATGGTTCTGTCCATGACAATCAATTGGAGACGTACAGAAATCGGAGGTCAGCATCACCAGATTGGCCCATGAGCCACCGCCTTCTGTGCATGGGTCTGCAAGGCTAATTTGTTTTCGTAGAATATTAGTTAATATTTTGAACATGGCCAAAAGGGTTATGTAATACCAATTTTTGTATAGACATTCCATGCACAGGGCAAGGCGTGACCAGCCGATTGGTAGAATCGGGCCTATTCTACCACCCGTCTAGGCAAAGTTAGGGTCGAAGTGGTGTGTTGGATTATTGAACACTATTGCCGGTTCCGTCATCCTCAACCACCAGACTCCCTTCCTCTGCCGACACAGGGATGCAACCCACGGCAAACGGGTTGCCCAATTTGGTCGCCTCTTACGACCAGCAATGGGGTGCTGTGGACCTATTCGACCCCGGGTCCACACGTGTGCGAAGAGCCATTGGCGTTACCCAGCACCCACCAGGAGGTTGCTCTTCAAGGGTGCCGTTGTACCCAATGACTTCAAATTTGGTGTCAGCCTACATTGGGGAATTACGCAGACACCATTTGATTTGCGTGACCTTGACCACTTTTCCAACTCTTGTTAACGCGATATCCCATGAACTGTCACACCCGATAGCAAGCGTGTTCTTTGATGCTTGGCATTGATGTCACTTTCGGAAATATGCAGCCTTCATTCTCAACTGAACTTAGAGATCCAATGTAAGTGACTAAATGATTTCTGTTTAATTCTATTTAATGCGTTGTCCCCCGCCGCAGCGCGGAACGGGGGACTATGTATTCAGCAGCGTCCGTACGTACGTCCCGATTCTTGTTCATTTTGAATTATGTCTTATATGAAGTGTACACAATAATAACCATGGTTATATAACCTCTTTACCTTTGAATATAGCAGTAAGCACCTCACAAGTCTTCACTTGTACGCAAATGTACTGTTAGTCCCCCCAAAGGGGCGGTGGGGTAGCCTTGTTGTTAAAGCGTTGGCTCATCACGCCGAAGACCGGGTTCGAATCCCCACATGGGTACAATGTGTGAAGCCCATTTCTGGTGTCCCCCACCGTGATATTGCTGGAATATTGCTAAAAGCGGCGTAAAACCAAACTCAGTCAGTCAGTCCCCATGGTACCTAGTATGGATCTGCCTTCAGTCGTTTGCAATCTATAGCCAATTTTTATTTTGTATTGTCATTTATAGTTGAAATATTTTAGATTTAGTTACTAGTTTTGAATGGATATATGTGATACACTAGTAGTTTTATTGTTCTTTGTCAACAGGTTTTTTAATATTTCCCTTATTGATCTCTTATATGATTATAAATTGTTCTTGTCACGATATGGCTGAAATATTGCCGATGTGACTATAAATATTAACTCACTCACTCACTCTTCACTTGTACAATCATTAGTATACCAGCACATATAAACTTCCCTTTGACCATATGTTGCCCCTATCGGGTTGCCTGCTGGTAAGATGGCCGTCCTGCTGGAAGAAAGAAACAACAAAACCAGTTGAGCGTCACTCAAGTTTACTACTGCAACCATGGCGGGGTTCGTTGTAACAAGGATTATTGTCTCATTCAGGCATCACCAATTTATACAATAAACATGGTTTAACATTAGTAATCGTGAATGTAGTATTTACTACAAATATACCAGAATACTTTCATGGCTTGTTGTCTAGGGGTAATGATGTTTCTTATGAAAGTATACAACAGCAGCTAATAGCACTCATGCACTGAATGGCAACGTATGTGGCCTCTACAATCCACCATAATTATATCTTTATAATAACTATGAACTATTGAGTTATTACACTCCAAACCCAATCAATAACTTGGTATTGCAAAATTGAACAATGAAATAACATGTAACCTGATTTGAACTATAGATTACAGGACCATTTAATAATTCAAAAACGCCTGACATAGTAGCTATTTCCAATACACTTAACATGTATTATAACCAGACAATGATAACTGCTGTGGTTACATCCTGGAAAACTTACTGCAGTTTCATTATACTTAGGTAATTACCATATGTCCATGACATCACAATTACAAACTACTTACTTGTGTACAAAATATTCAACCATTATAGAAATATTCAACTATCATTTCCATTTTAAAAATAAATTCGAGATTGACAACTATATACATGAACTAACAAGGAATTATTCTACATATGGTTATTGTTATTAGTTACTATGTCAACATGGCTGGATTTACCAACCTCCTGGCAATAATGGCTATATGCATTTACAATACACATAACAGCTGATATAATGCTAATAATTACCAAACATTCTGTTCCCTAACAACTGAGATAAACTGAACCGCTCAAAGCGGATGTTTACACATGGGTGCAGCCATCTTGAATCCCTAAGCGCCACCTAGTGTAGGGGAGACAACTCGTTCCAGCTTATCTTTCCAACTAGCAATATAAACTAATCTTCAAATTTACAACGATTTGTTAATTCCCTTACAAACAACACATTTCATAACAAACTCTAGCATTAATCTGTAACCATAAGTAATGGTTATTTAACGAATACACCCTGTTTACACATCTTGAAGGTCACGCTGTACGTGAACTCACTGTCCCTGACATTACGCACTTTGACCTGAGTTTACCTAACAAATTCCAGTTTTACCACACTTTCTACAAGCTTGATATAATATACATATATGGAATCTAAGAATGGTAAACACAATTATCACTTTAATATTTATGGGATAATTACCTGCAGGAAGAGAGAAACAACAAAACCAGTTGAGCGTCACTCAAGTGTACTACTGCAACCATGGTGGGGTTCGTGGTAACAAGGATGGGAACCCCGTAGACGTAACACAATATAAGGCGGCAGGTTGCTGAGAGTTACTTCCCTTTGGCCATGTACGAAGACCAATGACGCTTCTGCTGCCGTAACAGTGACAAAACCCCAAATACAAAGATTGTTTGGGGGCCCCCCTTTTAATTGTCATAATAAAAAAAGGAGGCGATAACCACATGTTACACATAGCATTTGTCAGTCAACTGTCGATCAAAACTTTACCGAAGATTGATGTAGATGTACTTTCGAAAAGTCTGATTAATACTATTTTTGTTTGCAGGTGGAGTACATATGCAGGATGGTGAAGAACAGCCAGCTTACCTTTGGTGGAATACAGTTGGTGTTTGTGGGTGATTGGTTCCAACTACTACCTGTTCCCAATCCTTCAATACGGTCCTCTGGCAGATATTGTTGTGAATCAAACTTTGGGGATCTATTATGGAACACAAAGTGCTTTTGACAGAGGTTTGATCACTGATATCAATGAAACTGAAAAGGGAATTCCATCTCACCAAACAAATTTATTCATCCAAGGTTTATTAAGACCTCTACCCCATGGGGAGAAACATACAGTGTTATATGATGAAAACATAGAGGTTGACATTCATGATGTCATGAAACTTAATACACTGTCAGATAAACTGAAGGCTTACAAATCAGAGGACTCGGGGAACAAAGAAAAATTGAAGAATACCACAGTTAAGGAAACTTTGTTCCTTAAAGTTGACTGTCCTGTTATTTTGTTGCGCAACTTGCAAAAAGGACTGGTCAATGGCCTGGAGGAAGGGTGGCAAAGGTAGAAGATGATGGACCTACAGCTGCTTTCCCCCCACACCACAAAAAAAAATGAGCAAAGCATGTTTTTCAGTTTATAATGCAGAGGAAAATATCACTGAATCTGAAAGATACCAGTATCCAATTGCCCCTGCCTTTGCAGGTGTGGCTATTGGTCGTACTGCTGACATGAAGGGCCTACAAGTTGTTAACTACAGAGCCGCATGTTGCCAAAAGCATCCCAAGGAGGTGTATGACTTCTTTGAAGACTTGGGATCAGACATTCAAGAGAGTGCATCTTGTTGCGGAGAAGTAAGGCTTTTTTTATTTTTACATGTGCTTGTCGCTTATTAGGTTTGATCCTGTGACCTGTATTCGTTCATAGGTCCATAAGTTAGTTATTTTTCAACTTCTTCTCCTAAACTACTGTGATAGTGTAGCTTAAATATTATAGGAAAGTGCCTTGCACCAAGGGGGTTAAAACATATCCATAAGGTTTGAATCTAGCTTCAAATATTGTCGCTAGTATGATGCTACACTAAAGTAAAGGCAGATATCAACAATGATTTTGGGAACAGAATAGCACAGTGGTTAGCGGGTTCAGCTTAAACCACAGGGTTCGGGGCACAGCAATAGTGTCAGTAGTATAGAACTGTTCTATATACACTCAGGTGTGGGTGATATTCTGACTTTTAGTTATCATACATGATTCGTTAGTTCGAGCCTATACGTGTAGGTTTCACCACATGATAAACCACATTGTTGGTGTACACATTATTAATGCTATATATCCAGCTATATGGTGGCGGTCTGTAAATAATCGAGTCTGGACCAGACAATCCAGTAATCAACAGCATGAGCATCGGTCTGCCCAACTGGGAACCGATGACATTTGTTAACCAAGTCACCGAGCCTGACCACCCGATCCCGTCAGTGCCTCTTATGACAAGCATGGGTTACTGAAGATCAATATTCTAACCCGGACCTTCACGGGTAGACTATGACGATGAAGCACTGCAAGAGATCAACCGCCGAGAGACAGCCTCTGTGTTGACAAGTGAAAGTCCAGTAAGTAAATTAAAACACATCACACAATTATTGATTGTTGTTTATGTAGGGTTGTCATGATACGATACCCATCACGAAATACCGAATCTTGTGCTAATTTGGTGTAAACATTCAGAGGAAGAAATATTAATGTTTATTACTCATCAGCATGGAGTACATGTGAATCTGGATAAGAGGTCTGTGGGCTGAGCATGAAGATCGAGGTGACGAAAGCCGAGATGTCACTTGACTTACATACCATGATCGCGCGAACAGATGGAAATAGTAATTTAGATGAACGTTTGACAATTTTTATGAAAACTGTTGATTTTATTCATTAGTCTACTCAATTTTAATGATTTCCTCGAAACGACCATACTTTGCTCTTTGACAATTTTTAAGTGGACCCGTTGCCATTCATTTGGAAAGACTTCCGCCCAATCCCCACCACCACCCATATTACCTGAATATACATATATATCTTTTTCCTCACCATTAAAATTTAGGGGGTATACGGGCGGAAGTCTTATCAGGTTGGGGATACCCCCTATCTAGTGTATATGGACCCATCCTGGGTATTACACCCCAACTAAGTGAATAAACGCGCCCTATCGAGCCCATAAAAACGGCAATTTCACCATCCACGGCGCTCACACGGAACGTCGCAGTATGGTGAGGTTATTTTTGCTTAGTACGGTATTCCTTGTAACGATACCGCATGCATCAACAGTCCCACATTGCCTCCATCAACGCTACGCTATCGCTAAACACGACCACTATCACATCATTCTGAATAAAAAATGGCCCTAGTTTCATCAGTATTGACAATACAGCAAACATTTTCACCTCAAACATCGCCCTCATGCCCTGCAACACACCACAGACCTCTCCCTGCGTCGTCTTCGTTGCTATCCAGTAATGGCGGCCGCTGACTGAACATCATTACCCAAAGTACACAAATCTACGGAGGGCAAAAGGGACATATGTCATTTTCGCCAAGGGACATAACTCATGCAATTACATTGATGATTTTATGCTAAAAAACACTTCACAATGTAACAATGACACCGAAATAGGTTCTTAAGCTGAAAAATCACGTTGCATACCATTTCTTACACATTTCATTGCTTTTTTACACGTTACATACATTTCATAGACCATAAAACACAAGTGCACACAACTAATAAGTAAGTTATTCCATAGAAAAGTTTCTTGACAATGTTATGTGCTTCCAAGCATTCATTATATTTCCATTAATAACATTAAAATTTGGTAAAGGATTAAGATAATGTGAGCATATCAAATTCATTAACTTTCACGTTATGACTTATTCGTTATTTTGCAGATTTAAGAAACGTATTCAACAAACATCAACATGCCAAAGAGAAAAAAATAATAGCTGCAGCTGTCGTTCTCATGACAAATAAACAAGTCATTCCTCTTCATACAAAGTGTCAAAGATTTCATCACGAGTTCATCCGAAATCTATCATAGATTGTTTAAAGGCTAGTGGAGATTTGACACATGATAGTACTTATATATGTACTGGCTGTGCAAATCATGCAAAAGACAATCTCGCAAAAGAAACACAAAATCCTTCTGTAAAAGAAGTTATTAATGCCATAGAAAACTCAAGTCTTTCCGACAACGATTTCCATGATTTAATCTCAGCTATTGGTTCATCTCTACATTCCTGCATCAACACAGAAACTGACCAAATGCGCAATGAGTATAAAGACAAGGATTTCTTTCAGAAACTTGATTGTCAAAAATGGCTTCAAAATAGGAACAGACATTTAATGACTTTACTTTGCACTATGTCGAAACCATCACATTGACGATGAGAGTGACCCCCAGAATAGGAAAAAACACATTCTGATGGCCAGAATTATTGAAAATCTCTGCTACCTTTCGTGTGGGAACCTAATAGCACCATTGGCATTTACCATTAACATTCTACAATATTTTCTGACAGGGAGTAAAAGTGCCACCACTTTGAATAATCATGTCTCTCCTTCCGGATCGTACACAACCAATGCCAATTGGTTAGACAATATCTGTAGTCCAAATACATGTCCAACAGAAGGCTCTGTCATGGTATTTTTTGATAATAACCAAAAGGTGGAAAGAAACTGGAATGTTTCCCTCAATTATAAAACGAAATGTAGTGTCACAACAAATGTCATTTACATCCGCAACCCTACTTGTTCGATACAAACTCAACTGTCATTCTCCCCATTCCTTTGGTTGCACACCGTTGACACTGAGGATAAACTTCGACCCTTACTTGACCAATATTCTAGAAATTGTGTACAATTATTGGACAATGTAATACACGGTCCTCAATACTGATGCGTTATTCATACAATGATCCTATATTCATCCATGGTTTTATTTCTATCTGATGTCTCGCCATGCGGTATGAGAACTGCAGTTTTTCCGCCCGTACGATGCGCTAAGATCTGTTATAATACAAAACTAATTCACTTTCAAATACCATTGTTGAATGACTAACGAAAAACTGAAAAAAACTGGGTTTGAAGTTGTCACTGCTTGGTGTATTTTGGCGGAACAAGTCTTATCTGTGTAATATCTGATTCAATCCTTAGGCTTTAAAATCCTAATTTCGCATTACAAATCAACACAAGTCGTGACCAAACTAACAGAGTAAGGGGTTATTTTATACACCTTCCATAAATTGATATAAGAATAAATAAATATAACACGATTTAGTTTCATTTATTCATGTGAAATGGATTGGGCGCTGGGCAGTACATTTTCAATGGATGATAATATGTGGATTCCCATACATGAAATATGACACCGATAAGTGCACGTTGTGTCACTCTCATGATCACACCCTATCCACTCCTTGAGGCGTGGGTCGGATGTGCCATACTGTACATGACACAACGGGCACTTATAAGTGTCACTTTTCTCATCTTTCTTTTTGAGAACCGACTTTCTACAGCGCCTTGTACTGCTTTTATTGCCTTCCTTCGACGATGATGTTTCAGGATTCTCCAAAATAGGTACCTGGATTTGTGGAAGTTCATCAGTTGTAGACGTTGTTTCAGGAGGCGTTGGGTTAGGCTGGTTTATTATGTGGGTAGGGGGAGGGATGGTAACACTTTTGGTGTGTAAAGGCTGCGCTGCTTCTGGTTCCTGTAATTATAGCAAATTATATAAGTATGATATATCGGTATTGCTCAATTGTTATAATTAAACAACCTTACATTTATTTATAACACATACATACCCCATACTTTTCTTGAAACATTGGGGTAGCCAAGTAGTTGTGAGCTCCTCCACCTTCTGCACAGAATTCAAAATAGATTTCGGCCCCAGTCACTGGTCATTTTCTTTCTGAGGACAAAACATGCTAAATATATTGGTTAGGCCGGGGTTTTATTAATTGGTTTACAGATTTTTTCCAAAATACCTAGGGTCGGTGATCGAAATAAAAATAAAAATAAAATTGAAAGTCTTCAATTTTTTTAAGTGTGTGTCTCAACATTTGAGTCGGTAGGATTAAAAAAAATAATCCAAAATTTGGTATTGTAAGAGAAGAGTAATTATTGTGAATCATAAGAGTGAATGACTGAGTTTTCTAAACTCTGTAATAATATCAAAGAGATATTGACATTACCTGTAGAAGAGACTAAACTCAGTTGCGCATTGCATCCACAAGAAAAATCAAAGTTAAATACTACAGCCGCGATATATGCAAACATGCACAAGTCAATAACACATTATTGCTGATAACAAAATTTAAAGATTACAATTAAAAAAAATAGAAAATAGTAAAACTTTGTGATCGGACATTATGACTTAAACACTTGCACAATTCTATTATGATTAAATTAAGTATATCTGGGTTTAATAATTGTTAAAGTCAATCAATATATCAAATACATGCTACAAAGAGACCCTTGAAATCCTTGTGAGTTTCTGCACCTGACACAGTTTTCTCCTTTAATGAAGGCCGCTCAGAATCTGTTGTCACACTTCCATACAATTCAGCAAACGGTTTCCATTCATCTGCAAAAAAAAGACGCTCTAACATGGGAGCCAAGGTGCTCGGTTTGCACATGGAGCTGCTGGTAGCC